CAGGATGATCGCATGAGGTGATGAAGCTTCAGGCTGTTCTCAGCCTCGACCACCAAACTCCACTCCATCTGCATGGCCCGCAGGATAGCGTTCTTCACATCCTGCTCTGCAGAGCCTCCGTCACACTCTGCCAGCAAGGCGGCTGCTTGGTGGGGCGAGCTTTGAAGATAGACTTTGTACTGCCTAAGTTCCATCAAAGCAGAAAGCCCTGCGTGAATGTGATCGAAGAAGAGCTCCTCTTGCTCTGCTGATCGTCTCTTCTTCACCTGCAGCACCTCGGATGCTGTCCCACAGGCCTTAAGCTTTGTGGTCTCAGGCATTGCACTCCGGAAGGAGAAAACAAATAGAAGAAATGTGCCCTCCAACAAATCACAAAACTCGCTTAGATCTTACTATACTTGTTTCTCTTGAGAGTGTTTTGAAGCCGGGTCAGGGATGTGAGTCCTGGTGTCTGTAAACATAGCACTAGCCGACAAGATATCTACTGGCACAACATGCTTGCGGATTAGGCCGCGATTAAGACCCGTGCGGATTTGCCGCCTATAACAAACTCCGGATTCTGTAAACAATTCCTTTTTTAATGGCTCAGCCAATTACGTGAGTATTACAAGTGAGCGGCTATGCCGCAGCAGACAGGCAGAAGAAAGTAAAGTCGCGGTTTAGCCGCGGCTGGGGTGTTGACAAAATTAGGCGAGCATTGCTGGGTGGGGCGTGGTTTTTAACAAGTTCCTAGCTGATGTCACGTCTTAGTCGAACTTAGTGAATTTAAAAAACCCTTGGCTTTTACTCACAATGGCCAAATGAATGCTTAGATTCAACCCCCCTCTGAATGATTGCTTCCCCTCCAGGATGCACGGTCTGGTCAGCACTTGGCAATATTTACTACAAAAAATATATGCTAGTTGAGAATTGTTTACTTCAGACTTCACATCCCTTAGAGTTACAACAGTTCAAATTGTGTTTACCACCTCACACCCTTGCCCTTGGAAACCGCCCTCTTCAACCATGCCTTGATGAATCTAATGAGTACTTTAAGCCTTCCCTGTAAGCACTGGTTGCTGAGTGCTGTACCCCAAGGGATGATCTACCCTTGCTTCCCCCCTGTTCCCAAGCAGACGAGCAGCTTTCACTTTGATTGGAGGTAGTATAGCCGTACAATGTTTAGGGGTTTGTCAAGATTCTTGAAGTAATGGACTACACCCGCGGCTATTCCGCGACTAAGTTGCACAGTGAACAAAAGTCATCAGTGTAGGAAACAGATTTCCGACTCTATTATAACTATGCTTGATTAGCTTTGACTGCACACACATCTACCGCATATATTGCACTTGAAACGTGGACACCGAGCGGCAGTGCGACCCTCGCTGTCCTGGGCCGGCGCGAGATCCGAGGAGATGCTCAGGTTCTCAAGGGCCACTTCGCCAAAGGTGACTCTCATGAGCCTGTCGTACTTCAGGTCGTACTGCGGGCCACACACGAACAGCGTCTGCTTCTGCAGAGCATCAAGCTGTTTGGAGTGCCGTTCCTGATCGTGCGAATATTGCAGCAACAGACACTACATGCACATACAGTTGGACGTTGCAGGACTGCAGCTTAGATACCAGCCAGAGACACGTGTCTGTGAACGGCTCCGACATGCACGAGACACTCTTGAACAGGGCGGCACAGGATTCATCCAGCAATGCCTCCATGCACCGTGGACCGGATAAGACATCGACAATCTTGTCGTACATACCCGTGGCCGTCTTTGTGCTCGGGGCTGCAGCCATTGCGTAGGGGTTCTTTCCTTCCTGAAGTGCAGAGTGCTAGAGGCCAAATTCCTTACTGCATGCAGCGAGCTTCTCTGCTGGGTTCCCTACCTCAAGACATGCCCACATCACCACCAAGAGCTGAGCAGAATAGTAGCATCGGAAGTTTTGACTGCAGAACCCCCAGCTGCACCATCTCCCTTGCTCGTAAATTGAACCTGTTCTCCTTGCAGGAACAGCAAACCGGAATGTCTGGGGATATGGACTGGGGCAAGGCAAGTCCTGCTCATCTTCTGCAGCACCTCTACCACTCGGGCAAAGTTCAAGTCTGCATCGTCCGAAGGCTTCCAGCCCTGCCTTTGTGTGCAATGATAATTTCACGAATGTTTTCTACCGATTCCAACTAAGATGCTCAGTGAAGCAAAGGCACTCGTGCAAGATGTGCTCGCTGAACATCTGCATGAGGACATCGTCCTTCTTAGCCTTGCGAAGCAGGTAGTAGTCAAATCACCACTAAACTCTTGCAACCACCACCACTGTCTTTCCGCGGATGCCACCACACAACAGACTAGTTAAGGAACAGCCGGGGCGCGATCTGCAGGTATCTCCTGCAGGCCTCCATCCATGTATTTCCCACCGCGTGGGTTGCCCAAGGCGATTTTTTGGCTTTCATCAGCCAGCTTGTGAGCATCTGCATGCCTTGGTGTCAACGTCGGCGCTTTGTCCTAAATCCGAAGCCTCGGCCCCCTTGCTGTCGGGACTCGCCGCACTCCAGGCGTGGCATGCAGAAAGCGGAGGAAGTGGGTCTGCAGCTTGTGCCTCAGCCACAAGATTTCATGTGGTTCTTACCAACGACACAGATTGCAGCTGCTGCCGGTTTTACTGCCTGCAAAGTGGCGTCTCGTCCCGGCAGAAACCGACCGGCAAGTCGAGAGAAGCCAGAAACTGCCAGGCACAGAAGAGAGGTCCGCCCTCGTCCGGGTGGAGCGTTACCCGGACCCCCGAGTCCGCTTCGCTGCCGTCCTGGTCCGGCGAGCACACCCACTCAGCGATGCCGGTGTCGTAGTTGAAGAGAAAGGCACGGTTGCCGTACATCTCCCGAGTCTCATGCTTTTCGGCATCTGGTGCCCGGTAAGAGACAGGAAGTGGAGCAAGTTCCAAGTCGAGAAGGTCCAAGCTGTGTAGCACAGCTCGCATGTGTTCTCTGCTGGCAAGCCTCTCCTGCCTCAGCCGACCAACGGCACGAGGCCTTGGTGTCAGAGCTGGTTTTGATACATACAGCAGACTTTGCGAAGAACCTGATGCTCCAAGCCGAGGCACATCTTGGTGGCGGCTGAAGCATCCTGTTGGAGCATCTTGTCAGCCAGGGACTGCAGTTCCTCCTGTTTTTGGCCGCTGCTGGCAGTGACTGGCAGCAAGTCGGACAGTCTCTGGACTGTCCAAGCGATTGCATAGTGACCGATGCCTAAGATTGGCTGCCAAACCTAAGCTGATCTGAATCGAAACATACACTGGGAGACAGATTCCTGCGAATTCGTACAGACAAGTTAGTTGCCCAGCAGCATCCATGCGAGCTTTCGGGGAAGCATCGCACAGGAAAGCAATGCCTTTGACCGGCTGCTTGGCCAATTCCTCAATCTGCTCAACAACAAAAACTGATGTGCAGTGCGTAAGGACTGTTCCTAAGTCTTACCTGAACCACACGGGTGGCAAGAATCTTCGTGCACCACTGAGGCTGCCTTCCTCAGGTACCGGTAGCTGAAGTCACTCGACAGCCTCACCGGAAAGGCTTACGAATGTGTGGGTTAGTAGTGTGTTGCTAAATGCACTGCTTGCCTGTGCGGGTGGGTTGGGACGAACTCGCTCAGCCCCAAGTCTTTCAGGGTTCCGTCGTCGGAAGCCGTTGCAAAACCACTTTGTCTGGCCAGAAAGCGCTGCAGCGAAACGACGTGCTTTGGCTTTGCCTCTTTCTTTAAGGCGCGACCGTCCCTTGGCTTTTCTTCGAGCAAAACACACAGACACACAAACAATCCTTGTCATGAGCGAAGTGGCACTTTGCAGGGGTGGAACTCGTCCTTGCTGCTCGGCATGGGCATTTCTGGGACCAGCCGCTGTTGCAGGTGTGCTTCTGCAAACTGAGCAAGCAAGTGCAGAAGCCGTGTCTGCAGCCGTCCGGAAGGAACTCTGCCCTGCAGTTGTCCCAGGACAGTCATTTCTCACGTTGAACGATGCTTTGGCTTTCAAAACAGAGGCCGGAACATCGCAACAGGGTTCTTTGAAACTCGGTCGCATGATGAAGCAGACGGCTGTCGACAGCCGCACACCTGTCGCATCTGCAAATGTTTCTACTCAAGCACACAGGCAGCATGTGGGCCTGCGTTGAAGTCCTGCTGGGCCGGCGAGGCAAGCTTGAACCTCTGCCACCTAGGCCAAGAAGCAATCTGACAAACCCCGGGAGGCTCTCAGTTGCAATTTCCGCTGCCTCGGTAGCCAGTCCACAAACTTGAGGAAGGTCTCCCAGGATGCTAGATCCACATCGTGGCCAACACACTTCAACTTGCCTTGTTCATTGCCACATTTCTTGCCACCGGCTGGGACAAGCAAGCTTCAAAGCACAGTCACAGACTTCCAGCCGAGCAGCAAGCCGCGACGTTGGGCAGAAGGTTCAGCTGCATGTCGGGCGGGCAGGCGCTGGCAAGCAGCGTCTCGAGGGATTTCTCTGCAGCTTTCTGCAGATCTTCTTTGCAAGAGCGAATCTGTAGAACACAGGTTGCCTTGGCATATCACAAAGCAGCAACCCGGGTTTTGGGGCACAGCAAGTACTCGTGAGAAACACAGCTTGCGAACCGCGTTGCTGCAAACAGACATCCAGGCAAGGTGAAAGCATCGCAAGGAAGCTTCACTTTCTGGGACTGCACGTCTACCTGCCTGCCCTTGTACCCTAGCTTCCGGATGATGTGCACATCCAGGTTTATCCGCCAAGCCATTGCAATCTCGCATGTCAAACTGTCCCGCCTGCCATATTGGTGGGCACAGCATGCACGTGGCGGGTTTGGGTTGCTTCACTGATGCAGACAAGGTGCAGCTTGGTGTACCAGTTTGTGAAAGCTTGCTTCCTCCGAAACAGTTTCCAGACTGTGCTTGCCCGGAAGTAGTGCTTGTAGCCCTCGGAGCTCACATCTCCCTCAGCCTGCGGGTGCTGGCCAGGAAACTGCCAACAGACACCAAGCAAGCAGATGCCAAGCACTCACTTCAAGTCCCTTTCCTGGCCTTGAGGACCTCAAAAACGCCGGCAGTCCCGGCTTGGGTCTGCAAGAAGAGTGTCTTCGTAGGCGTGTACTCCATCCGCTCCGTGGAGTCAGCTGCCGGAGGCTCCAAATCGGCGTCGTCCAAAGCCACAATCTGCTGTGGCTCCTCGGGAGCTACAGCAGTTGCGTGAAGTCGAGGCCTCAAAGGCAAGCCTGCAGACGCTGCCGCTTGACGGCAATCATCCAGAAGTGCCTGGCCAGGGGAGGATTGCAGAAAAACGATATCCAATGTAGGCAAAAGACTGACCCGCCTCCCAGTCGGACATCACTATTTGCTTCTCTGCTGCTACCGGCAGATTCTGCAGACTCTTCCTGTCCACAAAAGCAATCTTCTGGAGGAAGAGCTCTTTGGACTTGCGGATATCCGCATCTGTACTCAGCCTCACAGAGGTACGCAGGATGCAAAGACTGGGCTTTCTTTCACCCGAAGCAGCACGCTAAAGCGAAGCAGCACGTTGAACTGCAACTGAGGAGCTGCCGGTGCTCCTCCAGCTTCTTCTGGAGCCAGGATCGCAGGTCCACCTGCAAATGACAGTGCTGCTTGGTTTCGTGCACATCAGGGTGCCGCTTCGCGCGGCCAGAGTTCTGCTTGAGACCTGCTGCGTTGGCCACGTGCGCGCACGTGGCCGGTGTCGTAGTGTTGAAGCAGCACGCTAAAGCGCCACGAAGCAGCACGCTGAAGCGAAGAGCTTTGTAGATCTAATTGGTGGTTTAGGAGGTTAGTCGTTTGAAGGTGCGGCTTCGCGGCTGCTGCGCTGGGCACGTGCGCGCACATGCCCAAAAAAAATTTTCCAAGCAGCACGCTAATCTGCAGAGCTAGGGGGTGTTCTGGGCAAGCAGAACGCTAAAACGAAGCAGCACGCTGAAGCGCCAGAGGCCCACTTTCTCTTCCCTAATCATTGAAGCAGAACGATGATCTCGCAAAACTGGCCGGAACCCTTCCCAGTACTACTCATGAAGGAAACACAGGGTCCCAAGCAGCACCTTCATCTGCCAAATCCTGCGGAACCGGCTCCCAGTACTACTTTGTACTACAAAGGAGGGACCCCAAAACAGCGGTCAGACCCGGCCTTCGCGGACGTTGGCCCAGTGGATCCAGCATTTTCACTCATTGGCTTACAAACTGCTCCCCACTGCTGGCACAGAGCTACGTGGTTAACTTAGATTCTGCAAAATCCTTCTGAGCAACAATCCAAAACCTCCGGTTGTGCATCAGACGTGTCTGCTCTTGCTTCTTGTGTCTTGCACTTCTAAAAGCAAAGGCATAGGAGCCTCAGCAAACCAAAACGCCAAATCCAGATTTCCACTCACCAACAATTGCAGCCATCTGCAGCAGGTCAGAGCAAATGCCAACAGGCCAAGAACCATCAAGTTTACTTTTTCACTCCCTGCCAGAGAAACTGACTCCTGCCACGAAAGAGGCAAAACCATGATCGATCCTCCATGGGCATACAGAAGCACAGACTTCCACTAGAATCAACTCCACGAGATGAGTCCTTTGTCGAGGCAGCCCTTGCCCTCCTAGGATTCCTTCTCAGCATGCTCCTCATAGGCAGGCAGCTCACCCAAGTCCAGCACAAACACAAGCAAGGCAACAAGACTGTCCTTCAACTTCTTCGGCCACTGCAGCACAGCTCTGCGAGCCTTCAAGGTGAGCTTCTTCGCACAGAGCCTAGCCTTCTCCCCCAAGCTCTCCAGCAACTCACCTGCATGCAGTCGGTTCGCTGGGCTTGGAAGCTCAGTGCATTACCCGAGAAAAGCTAGCCAAGTAGGACATGAAGCATTTCTGGCCTGCAGGAAGATCCGACAACAGCTCCGTAGCATCGGACAACGAGGTGATGTCCTCGCACAAAAGGAGGTCCAGGCAATGATCGGCATCTGTCCTCAAGCTCTGCTGCATGAAATCCGACTGCAGCCAAAGAAACAAACAGAGGAGATGCAAGCAAGCTGCGAAGACATACCGTCCAGCAAGAGCTTCAAAAGCTCGGGCTCAAACTTGGATCGCACATCCTGGGCCTTGCTGTCACGGGACGGCCGTGGTACCGATGCCTCAGTAGCCTCAGCATCGGAAGACAGCTCTGGCTCGGATGGTTCCTGCACTGCTTCCTCCTCGTCAGGCTTGTTGTCCTCCTGCTTGGGGCTGGCAGCCTCGTTGGAGGACTCAGGCTCTGGCTCAGCAGGGGCCTTCTTGCGAGGCACCTTCTTCCGAGAGCTCAGTTGCAAAGCCTTCCTGTCCTGCTCGAAGTTGCCACCGAAGAGGTCATTGTCATCCTGCGGATCATCATCCTCCAACTCGTCCAAGTCCAAGGATCGCTTCGATCCAGCCTTTGAGCCTTCCTGGAACAGTCGCCTGGGCTTGAGGCCTGAGGTCTCCTTCTCAGCTCGCGGGGACTTCTTCAGCTTGCGGCGACCTCGCTTGGGACTGCAGCCAGGGCTCAGGAGACTGAGGTCTGCAGCAGAGCCCTCCGTCGTCGCCGGCTTGCGAGGCTTCGCAGCTGCCATGTCCTTCAGATCCTGCTCCGCTTTTTTTCCAAGCAGAGATGATAGGAAAAGAATGCTCAGGCAAACAGTGCTCGCAGTTGCAGTAAGTCTTGCCGGCAAAGACCTAAGAGCCCACCTTTTTTTCTCAAGTGCTGCCAGAGCGGAGTGCTAAAGAGGCCATCTGATCAAAACAGGCCTTGTCCATCCGCGCTTTACACGTGTAAAGCACACGTCACAAAACGGATTGCTCACCAATCCTGCTGGTCGTAGTAGTCACCATCCTGCCAGTCCAAGTTGCGATCCTGGCGGTGCTGTGCTCCGCCCCGGGCTCGCTTGCAGCCATACTGCATCTTCTCGATGGCCCTTTTGCTTACATGCCTCAGAAATCACAGTAGACACCGAGGGACAAAGCTCCGGCTAAGGCCTGAGTGACACCAGCTAGCACCTAACTGGGAAGCAATGCAGTCAAAGAGCTTCCTCGGTGGGGTCTGCGGGGCAGAGCTCTGGGAGGCCTCGGGCTGCTCCGGAACGTTGCCGTCCTTGTTGGAGTCGGCCACCTCCTCACACTTCTCCAGCACCTCGGAGTCGTTGACCTTCACCGGCTCCTGAGGCAACGGATTGCGGGCAGCCGTTGACTCAGAGGTCACTGCAGCAGGCACCGGCTCCAAGGTGACTTCAGGTGCCGGTGCTGACGGAGTGAACCTGGCGTAAATCTCCAGAGTTCCGCCCAGCACTGGAAGGGTGCCCACCCGCTTAGGACGAGTCTTCTCTACCTTGGGCCTGGCAGGAAGCTCCTGGTCCACAGCCTCAGAAGCCTGAGAAGAGGTGGGGCCTCTGGCTTCACCTTTGCCGCCGGGTTGTACTTCGGTTTCGGAGCCAGGACCTTGTTCTGCACTTTGGAAGCAGCAGGCTTCGGATTCGAAGCCTCGCCCACACCGGAAGGAGCCCCACCATCACCCTTCTCGTCACGAAGCAGATCCGCAAGGTCCTCCTCTGGCGGGTGTGTCCTGCTCCAGCTCGTGCTGCTCCCTCAGCTGTCTGAGAAGATCAGCTCTGAAAGCCTCCGTGAACTGCATAGGCATCGTTGCCGGAGGAACCGGCATAGGCAGAGGCGGTGGAACGGGGTTAGGGAGAGGTGGCGGGGGAAGCAACCAAGGGTTGGCGGACCATTGGTTGAACATGGCCACCGACCAAGCAGGCTTCAGGAGCCCTCCGGGGTCAACAAAAGCACTCGAGCAAGAAAGATCACAGAAACAAAAGATATCAAGCAGGAGCACCAGCTGAGGCTGCAACACTCCGACATGTGGGCTTGCAGACATGGACTGCATCAACCCCTCGGCCCGCCTCGTCAGGTTTTCTCTCGATGTTTGCAGAGACTCAGACATCACAAAACTGCGCTCCGTGCGGCGTCCAAAAACACCGAGCACAGAAGCTGGAGCTCAGCTGCCAGAAGCAGACACGGAACGTTGGCACTGAAAGGCTTGCTGTGAGGTCTAAAGCGCTCCGTCACAAGATTATTTCGCTCAGGAAGTTGCTTGCATGAGCCATTCATTAAGCAACTGCATGCCAGTCTGCCTCAGAAATTCCGCCCTCGGCCCTTTGAGCCCTGCTTCCAAGCAACATGGCACTGGGCACAGCTATGATGATGGGCATCAAAACCATTCTCATCATAGCACAAGGTGCTGCGACTGCACCAGTTACCAGCATTGCAGCGTCTGCAGATCGCCTTGACCTGTTGGCGACTGCGATGAAACTGAGCCTCCCTCCGTTCAAGCTGGGCTTCCTTGGCTGTCAGCCGTTCCTCTCTCTGAAGTAGCAGCCGCTCACGTTCAAACAGGAGCTTCTCCTTCTCAAAGAGCTCCCTCTCCTTGGGGTGAATCTCTTTGTCCAGCATGTCCTTCACCTTTCCCATGATCTGCTCCGTTACAGTCTCTGCATCTCCCAGGGCAGGATGCTGCTGCGAGGCGGAAGCCATGGTTTGGAAAGACGAAGGAAGAGGGCTCTGCAAAGGATCTCAAGAGGAAACACTGCAGAAAATAGCAGCTGAAATGGAGTTGCTGTTTCAAACCTCTCTGCAACGACTGACAGACAGCAGCAGAAGTAAAAGTACACCCTGCGCTTCTCGGTCCTCTCCAAGCTTGGCCAAAAGCTTGTCGTACTTGTCGTTGAGGTCTGAACTGCTAAGCCCGTTGAGCCTGCAGAGTTGCAGAGAAGCAGGGTTCAGCAAAACGTGAGGCGAACTTTGCTGGCAATGTGCAACCAGGCCTTTTGTACTTCTTCATCATGCTCTTGAGCAGGGTGGATACATCATCCAGTGTCTTGCACGTGGATATGCTGACTTGCGATGGGGACTTCCCAGTAACTCGGTTCATCAGAGATAGGAACAAAGGCATGCAAGACACATGACAGGCCAGCAGTTGCCGGGAAAGCCAAGGCACAGAGGCCCAGAATCTGACTCAACCTCTTTCTCCAGAGGACTTGGGCGGTTTTCACCTGCACAAGCACCGGAATTTGTTACGGCACGGGCAGCCTGCTGCCCGGCAGAATGCAAAGATGAAGGTCATCAGGAAACACCCTCCCCCTTCACTCCGGAAATTAAAGACCTGCCTTGCGAAGGGAGGCGTTTTCCGCCTGCTTGTCCTTCTGCTTCTTCGATCTCTTGAGCGAGTCGGTGAGCAAGGACTCCTCAGAGGTGGTTTCCCATAGCCCTCGGGCCCTAGGACATCTGCCTAAGCTGTCTAGCAGCCAAACAGAGACTTGTAAACAGCAACCCTCTTCATGCACTCTGCAGTCAGTCAAACCAAGGCACACTCTCGCCCCCCACCTGCAAAATGTCGGAGGCCACCACATACTTTGTCAGTCCAGACAAAGTGTATGCGAACTGCTGGCAGCTGAGGTCCTCCAGCTTCGTCTGGTCGAGGGACCTCGCAAGTTCTTTGTTGAGCAGGCGGAAGAGGCCCTGCTTGTCCTCCGTAGCCTCCTCGCTGTCCGCATCAGAGCTCTCGTCCGACTCAGAGGAACGGCCTGCATTGGCACGGATACAGCAAAAGTTGTTGCAACAATCCTGGCAAAAAGACCCAATCCAGAACTGAACATGCTCCCGTTCTCAAATCACAGAAGCACGGTCCTTTCTTGCTGGACTTCTCCTTCTTCTTTTTCTCTTTCTTCTCACTCTTGCCAAGCTTGCCGGATCCTGCACAGATGCACATCGGGTCCCTGGCTCTGCCATGCTCGGCCTAAACCGGACTAGAGAAACTGCAGCAGGAGGCAGGCCTGTTAGGGCCTTCTCCAACTCTTGGTGGGCCGTGTTCATCAAGAACCGATGGGCATTCGGAGGGCTCGAGGAATCGGCCCCGGTCTCCGAGGCCAACGATCGTGTGCTCTGGGTCCTGGACAATCATAAGGAAAATCAAAGCTAAAATTGCAGAAGACTATATAGGGAATAAGGATTACTGGGCACATATATCTAGTCTAGCCTCGCATTCTGCTACTGTTTCGGCGGCTAATCCGCCAAGTCGCGGGCTATCCGCGATTTCGCAGCAGTCGCGTTCTATCCGCAACTTTCCTACATTACCGACTCTGATACAGATGCCTAAGTCGCGAGCTATCCGCAGGTCTTCTACTAACTGTACTGTCAATCGCGGTTATTCCGCAATTCGCCGCGCTATTCCAAGAATTCGCGGCTAGTCCGCGATTGGCGGCTAGTCCGCGAAACTCGCAGATAGCCTGCTCATCCTATGGCTTCGAGGCTAGTCCGCAATTCCGCCAGTTAATGAGTTACTGCGGTATAGCTACAGATCTCAAATGAGCTTGAAGCCCTAAACCCATCATCCTACTGCCATTCAAAATAATCGCTTACATTGGCCACACACTAGATCGCGGCTAGTCCGCAATTCGCAGCTCATCCAATAATTCGCGGCTAGTCCGCGATTCGCGGCTATTCCGCAAGACTCGCAGTTACCATCCTCTTCCTGTGGCTTGGCAGCTAGTCTGCAAGTCCAGTACTAAAGGCGATACTCAAGAATAGCTACACGTGTCCAATGAGCTAGAAATCCTAAGGCCATCATCCTACTGCAATTCAAAACAATCACTTACAGTAGCCATCTACAAAGGTAAATAAAGCTTCTGACCAGCCTTAACATGACAATTCCTCCCAGAGTGTCCTCCTCACCTTGCCAGCCACCATGACAACGAGGAAAGGGGCTGCCCACTCCCCCAAAAAAACCAAGGAGCTGCTGGCATGGGCAATCTCCAAGGCACTCTGCCAAAGAAACAGACTTGCAATGACCTCCCTCAGCACTGCCCACTCTGCAAATCAACTGGCATCCTGCAACCCAAGCCTTACCTCGCCCTCCGGGCAGCCAAGTTGTTAAGTACTAGCACATATTCCGAAATCAGGACATCGATCAATGGATGAAGACAACCAGACAGTCTGGAGAGCAGTGACAGAAAGGCCGAGGAGGCATGGAACTGTGACCTTTTGATCATCATCCGGGTTAGTCCAAGAGGCTTGTGCCTTTCATGCACAAATTTGATGATAACTAAGACTAGTCGCTCGGCCACCATCTGGTTTAATTACCAATTGAGCATCTCCGCACAAACGCAACCACGATGAGCAGCTTCAGCCGTGGCAAAGAGCCTTGCCTCAGCAGCTGAGGGGTGCTTTGTATCAACACATCGGTAAAGCAAAGACACCGGAGCCAAAGCTGAAGTGCCGTCCATGCTGCAACGAAGCACTGCCCCAGAAAATGAAGCCAATGAGAATATCTCGGCCTCAGGCAAACATTCGGCAAAGCAATGAAGCAGTGCACAGTTTTTCGCAAAGACTGAATTTGCCGCCGGAACGGCAGCCACAAGCAAAGCTTTGTTGTTGTTCCAGAGCTAGAGAGATGGAAACCGAATTTTGTACCACCAAAAGAACGAGGTGATACATGAATCACATAGACTCAGAGCAAGCAAGTGCACAAAGTTCAAAGCCAGAAGCCATGTATCGTTTGAACTGCTAGTGTGCAGACAGGATAGGGAATGTATTGCGATTGCAGCACAGGCACGTCTAGAGCACTTCCCAGACCTCCCCGTCATGGATCACGACCGGTGGGGCCAAGGCATCGTTGCCAGCAGCAAGCCGGCCGCAAGGGCAACGAATCAAACGAGCCTCTGAAACAGAAGAACAAGCGCATCAGAATAATTCAGGCTGGGCCACTTCTTTTACAACAGGGCCTAAGCCAGACTGATGCTACCGATACAAACCCAACAATCAGACTTGAGGCAGGCAGCAGGGATGTCTGGCACCATCAGTCTGCGTCTGCGAAACACGGGTAGGAGGTCCACACAATCATCATTGCCTTCAAACCGATGATCGTTGTCCTTGATGCAAACACAAAATAATGACAATCGGGCAACAGACCGAATCATGGCATGAACCATGCAAGCCTCTACTTGCATCGGGCCGGCCTCGTGCACCAAGGTCGTCAAGACGGTGTCCAATCGTTCGCCCAAGGAAGCACGAAGTTGGAACACGGGAACAGAGTGTCGGAGCGAGAGCAACAAAGCCACCTCGGTGAAACACAATATAGAGTGTAATTCTTCAGAAACCCTGTGGAATCGCAGAAGCTAAAGCCATCGAGGCTCGGCACGACCGAACGTGTGCGGATATGCCTGCGAGGCTGGCATAGACCCACGTTTGCCCCGATAGCCACCGCCAGGGGTGCGATGGCAGAGCCTCTCTGTGGCACGGGACAGAAACCTCAGAAGCATTTCGAATAAACAGGCATGCACAAGACCTCTACTCCAGGTGAACAATCCGAATTTGCGGGGAAGCATCGCTCGCTCCAGCTCAGGATGAGTTCCAAGGAATCGGAGGCAAGTCAAAAGGAAAACATCCGACCCGATGAGCTGTGTCGGCTTCCTCGGCAGGTCAACAAAGTAGGAAATCGCAGCGGATGCGAGCAGGAACAAATAACAATCAAATAGCAGTCCAGCAGCGGTGTGGGAGCTCCGAAAGCACCCATGTTGAAGGTTATGCGAAGGTGACCACACTGGTGAAAAACATCCTGCAATGGACAATGCATAGAAGCATGAAAGGCATCCGCTTCACTGGCGTCTGCAACTGCTCATTACATGCAGGTCCCGCATTGCCCTGAGCTGCGGCATGTAAGATGCCAGGGGCTGCTCGTAGATGCAGAAGATTCTTGCATGCAAGCAAAAGAGCTGGCAATGGCTGTCAAACTCCTAGGCTGCGGAGTTTACAGCAAAGAAGGAAAGCATTTGCCACACTCCAAAACACTCGTGCAAACACCCAGCATTGCAACCGAGCTGCAGCAATCTCGTTGCCTTCAGCAACAGCTGGCAGTGCCAAGTTTCCCGAAGGATCGAGGTGCCTCTCCCTTGGCAACTGCACACACCCTTTCGCTTTACGAACCTCTGGCAGGAAACCGCTGCCCCACAAAGACATCTTCTTTAGGTGAGTTTCGTGCTTCCGACTGCGCAATTAAGAAAGCTGCTGCACTTCGGCGCTGAAAATCGCACACCACCCTGCTTGACGGCTGCCAAAAGCCGTAAGCCTCACGAGATGTGAAATGAGTTACCTGCCTGAAAAATCTGCTGCCCGACTCACACTGCACAAAGGCAACACAGCCCATCAAAGCCAGGACACAAAGGATCTTGCCCCTGTGGCTTAAGACATTCTGCATGGGGTCTCGGGCGATGTCATACACAGCCACCATGAACCTGGCCTGAGATTCGTGTGTGCAACAGCCAACAATACTGAGACAACTTGCTGTCCAGTTCTAATGAACACAAGGACAATGTCCAGAACACTTCTGATTGTGCCAAAGGAACTTCCTGAACGGCATTCGATAGCCTTGCCCGACCGGCGAAGCACTCGAAAAAATCCACATAGCGAAGCGGCGAGCCCTCGGCCATGTACTCAGCACTGAACACCTGTGGTGCTGCCTCGTCCAGCAGTTCGCAGAAAGAAGCCGGCAGTGCCGAACGGTCGACCATTGCTTTGACTAAGTCAACTAAATCGCCAAATTATGTGAACACATCACCCGCTAGGTCTGAAGATCTCATGTTGCCTGATCTTTCCCAACTGCAAGGCAAAAGCCTGAAGCCATAGGGCCGCACGATCACGAGCACCTTCTAATATGGAACTGATAACCAACATCCGAAGCAGAACGCTGAACGGTACAAGCACGGTACCCCAAGCAGAATGGCAATGGAAACCTATGAATAATGCGCGTACTTATTTTTTAGGCCGCGGCCATACACTATCACAGCATATCGTTTCGTATCGTGCCACATCATTTCATAGACAGCTTCATAAAATGCCGCATCGTAATATATCATATGATGGCCGGCCGCATCGCATCGCATCGCATCGTCTCATATCCGGCTACATCATATCGTATCATACCGTATGTCATCATATGTTATCATAACATACCATACATACATACGCACATACATTCATACATTCATAGGTTCATACAGCTTACATGCTTCAGACAGACTGAGACAAAGACGACAAATAGACGGACAAGCACAGAGGCACGCACCCATACGTGTGTATGTATATACATGTATCTATCTACGCGGGCAGCTGTTCCCTGAGCCAAGGCCAGCTGCAAGCAGTGCAGCATGCTTTGAGGTGCCGCGTGTCGCTGATCCAGGGGCCTCCAGGCTGTTGGGTGAGGGCTGCCCTTGCTGTGTAATGTAGGAACCTGATTAAGAAACCTTGGGCATTTCTTAGGGTTCCTTGTATGAATCCTACTACTTTGGGGTTCTAGGCCCAGGGTTTCTTAATCAGGTTCCTACATTATGCTCATGAGCTGAGTCCTTGTCCTTCCCTGGCCTGCAGGCACCGGGAAGACCTTCATCGGCTACAAGCTTCTGCGGATGCTGGAGGGCAGGTCGCGGATCCTGGTCCTCACATACAAGAACGATGCCCTGGACGGATTCCTCGAGCCGTGCCGAAAGGCCCCGCATTCCCTGAGCGCAAAGTTCCACAAACATTTGTCCTGTTGCGCGCACATGTATGTAGGCCCAAGGCCTCTTGTTCTGTGAGCCTTGGTCGCCCCCACATGTCTTCATGCAGTTACCCGGCTTGTATGAGCAGTCTTAAAGCACGGGACCTGCTTGGCCTAAAACCTGAAGTGCGACGGCTGCGGCTCAATCAGGCATGTAGCTCATGTTGTGAGCAAGTCGCAGCGCCCTTTCATTCTGCATTATCGTCGTCAGTCGCGCACATAGCTGTGGATCTCCAAAAGATGATAATCCATACACCTTCTGACTTTGTGTCCTGCCACCTTCAATGTGGACCATGCCGAGCCTCGGATCGAAGGTGCGATGTTTTCTCATCGTGACCTTTGTCGCGCAGCGCTGCCAAGGCCAACCCTTTGAGCTGGCGCAAACTATTCCGAATGTGGGAATGGCGTGGTCTGCGTTCTCCATCGATGGGGTGCAACACTTGGCTCTTGCGAGCTACCACACGGATTCAAAGGTCTACAAGTTTGAGTCCAGTTCCGGTCTGTTCGTGGAGTTGCAAAGTCTTGCAACAAGAAATATTCGGCATGTGAAAGCCTTTGCAATCGAGGGAGTGCAACATTTGGCTTTGGCCAGTTGGCATGATGGTGATTAGTCCAGTATGTACAAGTGGGAGAGCAGTTCCTTTGTAAAACTGCAGGACATACCAGAACGCCGAGCTTGGCATTCGGAGCCTTTTGTCATCGATGGGGTGCAGTACTTGGCTGTGGCCGATGACACCGTGGACTCTAAAATCTACAGATGGGATGGGAGCTTGTTCGTCGAGTTTCAGTCCTTCGCCACAAACCAAGCTCGAGCTTGGGCCGCCTTTCAGTTGAATGGAGCGCAGCACTTGGTTGTTGCCAACCACCAGACAGAAACATAGACTCCACAATATACCAATGGGAAGCGATACCAACAATTGGGGCTCAGGCTTGGGAACCCGTTGTCATTGATGGAGTGCAGTACTTGGCGGTGGCAAACTCTATGGATAGCGCAGACAACTACAACCTCGATTCCAAGGTTTAAAAGTGGAATGAAGTGGGAGGAGTTGGGTCGTTTGTCGAAGTGCAGAGCATTCCAACGATTTATGCCATCGACTTGGAAGCATTTACCGTTGATGGAAGGCAATACTTAGTTGTTGCCAGTATCCAATCTACGGTTGAGTCGAAGATCTACAGCATCCCGGCCTCTGTAGCTCGCCAGTGGGAGGCGTTTTCTATCGATGGAGTCCAGTACTTGGCTCTGGCCACTTCCGGTGCTGATTCTACCATATACTCATGGGCTACGTCTACGACGACCACCGCCAGCACTATGACTCTGACGACCAGCACACGCACAGCCACGGGCACAAGCAGCAGCACAGGCACCAGGACCAGCACAGAAACCACGTCCAGGACTGTCACGACCAGCACCCGCACGGCCACCGGCACAAGCAGCAGCACAGGCACCGGCACCAGCACAGAAACCACGTCCAGGACGATGACGACCAACACGCTCACAGCCACCAGCATCACATCCACCCAGACCACTACGACTCGCACCGAACCTGAAGGCGAGCTCATTGCCTTCAAGTTTGACTTTGCCGACACCGGTGTTTTGTCCCTGGCCGCCCTCGGTGGTTTTCTTCTCGTTCTTGCAGTGCCCATTATCATGATGCAACTTCTCAAAGAGAACGGCCGACGCCAAAGAAGCATCGGGCAAGGCCAAATGGTCGGCCTAGCGACGGCGGGCTCAGAAAATGATGCGAATCCGCAATCTGAGTCAGGTACACATGTTGCACATGGTGACGGTGAACGACAAGCAGAGCCTGCTTTTTTTGCCGACATCCTCAAAGCAATGAAGCGATCCCCCTATGTCCTGGCCATCAACATGTTGTTGGAATCAGGGAACCTTGTCACGGGTTTGCTTTACGCCACGGAGGCATATCAGCGAGCGACATTGATCAGCTTTTCCGTGCCGTGCGGGTCGGGTATTCTGATGCCCCAGAAGGCTGCCCACTGCCCTACCGAGACCGACATTACTGATCTCCCGCTTTGCCACGAAGGTTTGGAGGTGCATACGATCTGTGAAGCAGATGTACAGGTGCCGAATCCGAAGTGTCACGTGGATTACCAGCTCGACAACTGTGAGAACTATGATATTTACATGATGGAAATGCCTCGCTGTGCAGATGTTGGCTGCAAAGCTCTGGGCAACTTCATGTGGGTTGGGGCTCTCCTGTCGTTCTTCGCCACTGTTGGCTGGACTGCGTTGTTTTTCTGCAGACATCTCCGCAAGCATCGGCAACAGCGGGAGGCAGCAAGTCTGCGTCCGCGCTTCATAGCTCTCTTCGTTTGCCTGCTCGGGGTGCTTGTGGCTACGCTCAGCATCGGCGTCATTGGGGGACCCACCTCCGTCTTGGCCGTTGCTTTGCTGTGTTCGACTCTGCCGATCTGCAGCTGGTCGTTCGCAGCATGGATCGCATCCCTACCGGCAGAGGGAGAGGAGGTCATCGTAAGCCAGGCGGCAGGCCTAGAGATTCCGTTCTTCAACGTGCTGCTAGCAATCAACTTGAAGGATGACAATGTCCAAGCCTTGAACAGTTTGCGCACACCTTTGGCCATGGGGCTTCGGATTGTGGAAGATGCACCGGAACTCGTCATTGGGATGTTGGACTTGTTCTACTTTGGAGGAGCATGGTACGTGTGGCTTACCATCGGAATGTCGATGGTCATGGTCGTCGTTCAGCTATCGATGGGACTCTTCTTCAAGTGTCTTCTGCTTGCCAGGGGGCTAGCAGGAAATGCGCAGCACTACGTCAGTCGTAAATCCGGGCCCATGGAGACAGAGTAATAATGAAAGCCGCCCGCTTGAAGTATGCGTGGCTGGGCATGAGTTTGTTTGCCGCACTGGCCATTGTTCAGCTTTGGCCACATTCCGATAAATATCCTTTAACTTGTCCGTCCTTTGCCAGAAATCTGGCAGGAATGAGTGCATCCGTATGCTGCCCGTATTTAGGTTTCTCAGCTGTCAGACTGGAAGCCATTAGATTCTGAGTTTTCCTGGAGTCCACGAGGGCGGACTTCCAGCACATCTCCGTTGGGGCCTTTTTCCTTCCAAGGAGGTCTGTCCCTGCCGGTACCGAAGACATTGCCTGGGTCTGCCCGGGCAGACGCCACTCAAGCGATTGTATGCGGGCCTCACTCGTCACGAAAATTCCAGAGACCTTGTCGACGCGCCCATCCCTTGAAGGCGGTAAGACGTCAAAGCCCAATTGACTTGAATAGTCACACACGCTTCTTCGGGCCAGTGGTATG